AAGAGAGAGTCTTGCCTAGGCCTCGGTTGGCTTTGAACTTATAATCTTACTGCCAGCCTCCACAGGGTCTGGGGTTACAGATGTGCTCTGGGGTACCTAGCTTATCCTTCCATATTTCTTACGTATATATTAGATACTCTCTTGAGGGTTACCACATTTCTCTCAGTCCATCTAAAGTTGTATTTTTACTAAGATCCATTTGTTTTTTCCTTAGTTCTGTTATTATCTTCGGTAAAATTAGACAATGATTTAGTGAAATGTGATAAAGGTGAATCTCTAAGACAGTTGCTTTGAAATTCAGAGTGGGTGGAATCATTGTGAAAGATTTGAAAAGAAATGTTAAAAGTCATGAAAGATTCGACATTCATATTGCTTCCCATATTTAAATTTTCATTTCATGTTAAAAGGAACCAGAACTGAAAGCAGAAAAGATAGATTGTGACTAGAGAAGACAGATGATCCATGCAGATGATGCAGAGTTCTAGTCAGCATGCACTGAAATCTTGAGTGCCAAGTCAACAGTGTGTGTGTTTGTAGAGAATCCTGCCTTCCACTAGCTTTTGAAATTGAGCAAGCTATGGCCCTAAATGGGCTTAAAGATGCTCATTGGGTTAGAGATGTAGCTCAGTGTTACAGTATTTTCCTAGCATGTGCTCCTGAGGTTCTGGGGGGAAAGTGTTTATACTGTCTCTAAAGAGAATTATATGCCTTTCTGAGTGATCTTTTTCCCACTTAGTGTGTCATGGACATGCTTCCGAGCCAGTGAACATAGATTAAAATATTTCACAGAGCAGTGTGGCAATATGAGCAGGGAAGTGCACGGGTCCTAGGTGTGTTACACTTTCTCAGTGAAACATGAAGTGAAAACATCCCTGTAACCATTAGCAAGGCCAATAGACATTCCCATTAGCCTCAGAAGCCGCCCTAGCCCCATTCTCCCACAAGAGATAATAGCCGTTATGACTATAACATTATACCTTTTGTGTTTGAACTTTATGTAAATGAGTGTACTTATGTTTTTGTTTTTGACTGATTTTGCTTAGCATTTATTTATAATGTCCATCTAATTTCATTTTAATGTGTATTATTTTTTCATTCATATTTCGTTACTGAATCTTCTTCCATGGAAAGAAGATGCTATGATATTTACCCATTTCATTACTGATGACCATTGGGATTTTGTAATTGTTGTTATAAGAAAGATTGCTGTATTAGCCTTCCAGTACATAGCTTTGGCACACATGCAAATTTTTTAATTGTCTGTTTACAAATCTAGGGATGGAATCAGAAGTTCGTATCTACTTTGCGGGTTGCTGTTAAAATTATTATACTAATTTACAACTGCATCCTCAATATGTGTTAGGTCCTGTTGTTTTGCATGTTTGGCAGTATTTGGTATTGTCATTGTAGTGTTTTTATTCAATCTAGTAGACATGGTATGGTATCTTGTGATTTTAGTTTTCATTTTCCTCTTAGCCAAGGAGATTGAAAGCTTTCAAAAACAGATTTATTGACCAGTTGGCTATCTTTGGGAGGTGTGGGTCGGAAGTGCTTAATTCTTTTCTGCACTTTCTTAAAGAATTGTCAGACCTTTTCTTATGTATTTTAGAAGTAAGTTCATTTCTTGTTAGAAATATCTTTTCCCATTTTGTGACTGCCTAGTGTTGATGAAGTTTCCCAGTTTTAATGCTGTTCATTCTCTTTGTGATTAGTGCTTTTTGAGTATGCTTTATAGGGTAACCTTTGCTTATTTCCAAGGTCATTAAGATATCGTCCTATGTTGTGGTCTATCAACTTTATTCTTTTAACGTAGACCTGTGCTCTGAGATGGTAGGAATTAGTGTTAAGTTTAATTTTACTCCATTTTGGCATCTAGTTGATCAAGTAGTGTTTACCTAAAAAGAGTGTTGGCTTCTCATTGTTCTGTAATGCCTCCTTTTTCATAAATCAAGTGTCGATACATGCATGGTCCAACTTTGAGCCCTCTATCTCTTCCACTGGTTTATTTCCCTTGTGTTGCTGTGCTTTGAATCCTATAACTTGATAAACTAGAGACTAAGTCTTTTGCCAGGCCTAAAGATTCTTGACCTTTCCTATTGTTAAATAAAGCTTAAAATCATCTTTTTAGTTTTTACAAACTCAGAATTTTGACAGGTTATTTTGCATTTATGAATCAGATTCTTTTATAGTCAAATATATAGATGAATTGATATCTTTATAGTATTGAGTCTTTATCTCTAGTACAGGGAATTTATTTCCATTTGCCTGGGTATTGTTTAGTTCACCTGGCATTTATGTTTTATTTAGTTTTAATGTAATTTTCTGTTTGTTTTTCAAGGTGACGTCTCTCTATGTGTTCTAGGCTGGCCTTGAACTCTCTTGAACCTACAGCAGTCCTTGTGCCTGGCACAGGCATGCACCACCACTGGCTTTTTCTTTTTTTTTGGTCTTTTTGAGACAGTTCTTGCTATGTAGTTCAGGCTGACCTTGAGTTTACTTTGTAGCCCAAGCGGGTCTCGAACTTGCAACAAACCTCCTGCCTCAGCCTCCTGAGTGCGGGGATTACAGGCGTAAGCCACCATGACGGGTTTACTACCCCTGGCTTTCAGCATAATTGTTTTCAATGCTACCGAATATTTTATGTGTACCAAAATACATCTAATCAATCCCTTTGTGTTGTGAATTTAAGTTGTTTCTATCTCGTTTCACTATGAGAAGCAGTGTGGTCATGCACATTCACACATACACATTTTTAGTATCTTTGATCTTCTTGAACTTCTCCAGAAATTGGAATTTCTCAGTCACACAACGTGTATCTTCATCTTCCCTGCTGAATTCTATCGTTGTAAACTCTACGCAGAGTTACAGTAGGTTCCATTCCTGTGAATCTAGTAATTTCTTTATTGATATTTTCTAATTTAATAGGAAAAAGAATAATTTATATTTTCAATTTGAATTTGGTATTACTAGTGAGATTGGAGACATTTTCATTTGACTACTTGTAACTCTTAGAAATAGCCTGTTCATGGCTTTTGCTCAGTGTATTTCTGTTTTTCTTATTAATTGGAAAGTGCTATTTTTTAAATAATAATCTTTCATCACATATATTTATAGAACATAAGTCAGTACAATAAAGAAATTAACTAGTATACTTTTGTACTCAAGTTCGTATCTACTTTGCGGGTTGCTGTTAAAATTATTATACTAATTTACAACTGCATCCTCAATATGTGTTAGGTCCTGTTGTTTTGCATGTTTGGCAGTATTTGGTATTGTCATTGTAGTATTTTTATTCAATCTAGTAGACATGGTATGGTATCTTGTGATTTTAGTTTTCATTTTCCTCTTAGCCAAGGAGATTGAAAGCTTTCAAAAACAGATTTATTGACCCGTTGGCTATCTTTGGGAGGTATGGGTCTGAAGTGCTTAATTCTTTTCTGCACTTTCTTAAAGAATTGTCAGACCTTTTCTTATGTATTTTAGAAGTAAGTTCATTTCTTGTTAGAAATATCTTTTCCCATTTTGTGACTAGAGCAAAAACAGAAAACCCTGTTTAGCCTATTCAAATTGTGCTTTTTTCCCAGGTGTTTATGTCCTTTGAATACTCAGCAGTATCCTAGCAGTAATATGCTTATTATTAGGGACTATCAGCAACTGAATGCAATAGAACAAAGATAATATAGTCGTACGAGAAGCTCACTGAACTTAGGAGATGGTTCCAGACATGCATGATCTCACTGCTTTTTACCTCAGTGACCTCAGTAAAGCCTCATATTCTTTCTGAGCCTTAGTTTCCTCCTCTGTATCACAAGTAGACTTATATTCACTTACCTCCTGGGGCTGAGGTCGTATATGAAGACCGGCATGGCACACAGTAAAATTTGTGTAATACAAATCATAATCCTAATCAGTATTACATGGGTGTAGCATGTTAAACGTTTACTTTATTAAAATTATCTTTGGAGGTAACCTGGTTTATAAAACATTCATCCTAACACCCTTCTGGTTCTATGGTTTGTGGGCTTACACTAATTTTCACGACTCCTTTAGAAAAAAGTGGCTTGTTGTTTAAAAAATCAAGTTGAGGTCCTTTGTGATTACTCCGAGTGTGTGTGGGGTTTATTAGCTTTGAGGGCAGCAGGCCTCCATCTCTCATACTGACAGCCTTTATGAGTTCGTCAGCTGCTATTCAGGTAAAAGTCATTTTGATCTGTGATGAAGGCGCTACATTAAAGGAGTCCCGAAGTTGGAAATCTCTATTTTGGACCTTTCATTAAAATGCTCTCTTCCTGAAAGAGGCAGAATGCATTTGCATCCCAAAGGATAGCTGATTTCATTTGGACCTCTTGAAGCCTAGTAATTTAATTATGTCTCTGCCATAACCTTTTATCTTCCTCTCGCCTTCTGACACCTCATCCTGGAAGCTGGTCGTCTTATCCCCAGAATTAATTAACATGCAAATACTTGTCTAGAGACAGGAGAACATTGCTTTTTCAATTAGCATGTAAATGTCAGTCTTAATGATGTTAGATTGACTCTTTTAAGGAGAATTAAAATGGTGTAGTCATCTCCTGCTTGTTTCCTAGAGCACATTATAGATATTTCTGATGCTGTGGTCCTGGTGGGACTTTCTGGCTTCCACAGCCACAGGCTGCATGAAGTCGGGGATGGGGCCTGGCTGCATCAGAGCCAGGTTCCTGCCTTCACTTCTCCCCTCCCCTCCCCTCCCCTCCCCTCCCCTCCCCTCCCCTCCCCTCCCCTCCCCTCTTTTCCCCTCTCCCTCTTCCTCTCCCCTCTTCCTCTCCCCTCTTCTCTCCTCCTCCCTCCTCCCTCCCCTCCTCCTTTCCCCTCCCCTCCCTTCCCCTCCCCCCTCCTCCCCTCCCCCCTCCTCCCCTCCCCTCCCCTCCCTTCCCCTCCCCTCCCCTCTCTTCCTCTCCCCCAGGTTTCCTAGCTAGGCCTGCTTGCCATGCCTCTGCTACTTCTCAGTAACACACTTATGATAGTTATTACTTATATTTACGTTTATCGGAAGGAGTGGCCCCTGTAAGAGCTGTTAGCAACAAGGAAAGGTGCTGGGTAGCAAGGTCAGTGCTCATGTCCCAAAGAACAGAGAAGATGAGCTTAGGAGATGGAAATCCATGGGTTCAGGTCTTGCCTGTGCCAGTGGGAAGCTGTGTGACATTGAGCTGGTTACTCTCTTTCTCTGAGGTTCAGTTTCCTCACTCTGTAAAATAAAAATAGTAATATCTATTAGAGAGTTTAAACCTGGTGACATATGCAGAGGACTACCCAGGTCAGAGATCCTTGCATGCGTGTACGTGCTTGTATTTGAGCCCGTGGTGTGGATAGCCTTGGCTGGCTGTGGGTGTGCATAGAGAAAACTTAATAAAAAAAGTGAAAAACCACAGAACATCTGACAAAAGCCCAAACCAGGATGAAGTCTCCACAGACCTCAGGCTCATCGGATGTCTCCTCCCCTGCTGCCGTCACTGTGAGAATGCAGTCGTGGGGTGCTGGGCTGCTTCCCGCCGTGGGGACCCCAGTGTGGGCAGCTGGGATCGCTGGGGAAGTGGGGCTGTCCTCAGCACACGCCCTGCTCTCCTTTTCTCTCCTTGGCGCCCATTTTCTTGCCCCCACCCATGAGTTCCTGGCAGGAGGAGTGTTTGTATTATGTTAAACTGTGTCTTTTTAAATCCTAAAAGCTTTCTCCTACTAACAGTTTAGTTATTATGGAAAAAGTATATGAAATACAAAAAAGATAAAATACAAAGTAGTCCCTTTCCATCAAGCTTTGAATCCTCATTTTTAAAAAACACAGACATTTTAAATGGACATTCAAGCATATATATACTTTTTGAACATAAGTAGACTCATTTAGTGTGTGTATTGTTATGTAACTTGCTTCCTTTAATTAATGTGTGGGGTAGCTAGTTATACTAGTATTTTGTTCTACCTTAGTTTTTAATCAGTGGATTAGTAGTCCACTGTACTCTCTATGACTTGTCTTTTTTTCTCCCTCCCTCCCTCCCTTCCTTCCTTCCTTTTCTTCCTCCCCCCATTCCCTTCCTTCTCTCCTTCTCCCCCTTCCCATCCCTTGCTACTGATCCTTCTCCCCCTTTTTTCCATACTGGAGGCTGAACCTAGGGCCTTTGCACTGATCTATATCCCCAGCCATTTTTTTATGTTTTACTTTGAAACAGGGTCTTGTTAAGTTGCCCAGGCTAACCTTGTATACCTCCTGCCTTGACCTCCCAGAGTGATTGCAGGAGTATGTCAGGATGCCTGGTTTGTAAGTGATTCTTACTGAGCAATCTTTAAGTTTATTTATTGATTTAATTTATTTAATTTGTTTTCATAGGTTGAACTCATGACCTCGTGCTTGCCAGGCAGGTGCTGTGCTGCTGAGCTATATCCCCAGCCCTAAGTTTATTTTCTTAATCTTTGCTGTTTATTATATACTGTGCTGCAGAGCAATGCCGTGTAGTCATCTGCAAGCCTGTAAAATTTGAATTGCATTTGGTTACATTTATTGAATGTCATGTGATAGAATTGTTGGGTCATAAGGTGCATGTGTATAAAATTTTGGTAGAATTGTCCTCCAGAAGGTTGCACCTAATGTCATTCTGTCCACTGTGCATGCAAATGAATATTTTGCTTCTGAAAGACAATCCTGAACTTAAGGCCAGCGAAAAAAGCCAAAGAAGAAAGAGGACGTTAAAAATGAGTGGCCATGATCCATGAAGACGTATGATCACACAAAAACTTACCCATACCAGAGCTGGCCATGGCCGACAGAGGTGGTAACAAGCCACAGTCCATCCAGTGCTGAATGGATAGACCTGTGTGTTCTCCACACACAGTGGAGTGTTAGCAATAGGAGCTACCATGTGGATGGACTTTGAAAACATTATGCCAAATTAAAAAGCCAGTTACAAAACACCACCCCCATTTATACGAAAGGCCTAGAATAGGCAAATCCATGGAGAGCGAAAGTAGATTAGTGGGGGCTGGAGGTTTAGCTCAGCGGCATAAGCACCTGCCTTGCAAGCAGGTGGTCGTGAGTTCGATCCCTGGTACCGATAAAAATGAAAAAGACCAAAAAAAAAAAAAAAAAAAAAAAAAAAAAAAAAAAAGAAAGTAGATTAGTGGTTGCTCAAGGCTGGGAATGGGCTAGGGCTGGGGTCAGGAAGTGACTGCTAATGGGCATTGGTTTTCTTTTGGGGGTAATAGAATGCCCTATAATTAGATTGTGGTGATGGTTGCACAACTCTGCATGTACTAAAGCCATTGACTTGCACACTTAAAGTGGGTGAATTTCATGTGTGTGCATTTCAGGCCAATAAAAGTTTTTTTAAAAAGAGTAAGCGGTGGCAGAATGCACGGGAGGGGACGGAAAGGATGAGATGTGGGCGTTGTCGTGGGCTTGTGAGGCAGCAGGAGGACAGTGTGACGCCAGCGTGGCAGGGAGTTTGGACAGGGCAGCCGTTCCTGCGGGCTAGGCCGAGTGTCCCGTTCAGGTGGTTGGTGACAGCCAGCTGTGGGGGTGGATGGTGGAGCAGGGTTGAGGCCGTTCACGCTGCCTTCATCAGGCTCGGAGACAGGGTTGGTGTCCTGAGCTATAGCTGCTGGTTCTTGTTTAGTTCTTTGAATACACAGAAGACACTGTTCTGGAAGGCAGTGATGGTTTCCTCTGCTGACCTAGAAATGCCTGCTGTGCTCCGGCGTTTGGAAAAGGAAGGTCAGAGAGAGGAAGCTGAGCTCAGCTGCTGAGTCAAGGGAAAAGGGGGAAGGCCTCGGGTCACCAACGGTCAGCGACTGCCATCGGCTGTGTGCCGGTGGATAAAACATAGCTCAAAGCAATGAGGTTCATCTCGCGGTGAACCCCGACAGAGGGAAATCAACACACCTTTCTGCCAAAGCCGACTTCTCACGATTGTAGCTTTTTGAACAGTGCTCATTTCTCCTTTTTCTGGCCATCGTGGTTCTGCAGCACGGGTCAGATCAAACGGAAACATTCAGGACGTTCTCAGTTACTTTCAAACTTAATTACTTTCTGAGGTTTTCAACTTCAGAAAGGGCCGTGGTCTCCGTGGCTTCATTTGAAGGTGAATCCTTTTGAGGAGGCCACTGCTGGTTTGCCTGCAGTTTACTTTAGAAGCCCAGCACAGCACATGTGCGGCTCAGTACTGACCCACTAAGCCAAGTTATTCTGGGCCAGGCAGAAGTCTTTTTTCTTTGTGTCTGTGTTTGATTCATTACTCCAGGTTTTATTCCTTAAAAAAAAAAATCCATCAAAGAATAGACCATGGGTAATACATAGTGAGTCCTTGTGTTTGATTAGGATGTAGCCAGAAATGTCAGGCACTTTTAAGCCTTTCTTCTGATTTTATTTTGAATTGCTAAAGAACTTTTAGCAGTGCGGGGAAAATGTGGGGGTGATTCAGAGCGTGAGGCAGAGGAAGGGAGTGATTCTGGCACATGCTCACCAGTCGAATGACAAGTGGGGGATATTTTTGTATTTATTGCTATTCATAGTTGAAGGCCTGTGGCTCCCTAGGAATTAAGCTTAGTTATACTTATCAGACTCAGAGGTTTTACTGTGAGCACATCAACCTGTGGGCCTTTGGATATGTTTCAGTCTGCTTAGCTGATGGTTAAAGTGTTGTCCTGCTCTGGTGGAATGTCCTGTCACTCAATAAAAGGAATACATCTTGGCATGCTAGACTGCAGTATAATTAAAACTGTCTTTATTTCTGCACATAGCCACAGAAGATTTTTGTTTGGTTTGGGTGTATTTCTCCTGAATACATTTGAAAGACAGGGACTTACGGAATACAGTTTTAGAATTTTTTTTGTGTGTGTTACATTTGGATTCTGGAGATAGGCGTGAATTCAGAGGGTTTCAGAATGTGAGAGAAAGGTGTTTTCGTGGCTTACCCGGTGGGGGTGTAAACTTTCATCCTTTGCCAGCCTCTTTAGAAATTGTGACTCTGAACCGTCCTGACCTCAAAGCACAGGCTGTTCCTGTGAGTGAGCCTGAAACCCTTTAAATCAGCCTGAACTGCTAAACAGGCTAGTATTATTAACTAAGTAGGTTTAACTTTGCTGATGTCTGATTCTACACAGAGTTAGATGTCAAGACTGAGAGAGACGGGCCGGGAGTCATGAATGAGGCTTCTAATTCTCCCCAGCGTCTGATACATATTTCAATCCATAGAAAGCAAGAAGTGCTTTGTCATTTTCTTTTTTTCTTTAAACCCGGCTGAGGAAGCAACGAGGTGGAAATACATTTTGAACATGCATTGTGAGCAAGCAACTCGAAAAACTGTTTCTCTAGGTGGGACTGATGAAATCCTCGGGAGGGAACAACCATACAGTACAGTATTGCAAAAAGAAAGAAAAAAGAAAGGTGGATCAACCAAATAGTGATAGTGATTTTCAGAAACTGAATTTCAGAGAAGATACAAGTTTGGAAACTTGGGCGGTGGCACCAAAAGAGGAAAAGGAATGTAGAGAGAAATAAAGAAAAATGTGATAGAAAAAAATCACAGTATGTTTGGAGGGGGAAGAAACCGGGAAAGAAACAATTTAAGAACAAGGAACTTTTTGATGGGCTCGGGTATTCGGAGAACATGCACAGAAGATTAAAAGACAAGCCGTCGATCAAGGGGAAATTCAGAAGAGCAGCATAAACCCGTAAGGAAATACCTGCAGGCCTCGAGTTCAGACAGAGCCGATGCAGCTGGTGCAAGAATGGTGCTCTTTAAACAAAACCAGAGGAACAAGGAAAGGCTCCGCTCACCCCTCCGGGCAGACCTGCTCGCTGTTTGGCTTCTCTCTTTATCAGAGAGCCTGATCTTCAGACTGCAGTGTGTAACACGAACACGGTGAAGAGTAAACCGGAGCAGACAAGATAGGTCACGGTGATAACAGTCGCAACTGCCTTTTGCCGGATCTCACTCAGGACTGAGTGCCGTAAAAGACATTTTAGTTCCTTTTTGCCTAGTACTTCCGGCAGCTGTGCATGGAGGGTATTATGGTTTCCAGCCGTGTTTTATGGATGAGAAAACGGAGGCTCAGAGACATGTAATATCAAGCTCAAGGTTACGAAGACAGTAAGCGATGGACTAAGATTCAGATCCAGCCTGGCTTCAAGGTTTGGCTGTCTTGATTGGACTCCCTGACTCCCCGGCCTGTCAGCACCAAGGTTATTATTTTTTTCTTTTTATCACTCCACGTGTGCAGTTTACATCCCTTGGGGGCAGTTGGTGTGTGCACCTAACGCATCTTAATTCCTTTTTCACCCGCCTCATCTTTTGATCCTTTTCCTATTTGAAAAAGATCTGTCTCCTTACTACCTATTATCTTTTATTTTGCTTTTTTTTTTTATATTTTAGGTTTCTCATATAAGAGAAACTGTGGTATTTAAACATGTGCATCTGTTTTATTTCGCTAAACATTATAGTCTTCAAGGTGCGTCCATTTCCCTACAAATGGCTCAAGTTTATCTTTATGGCACAGTAGTACTCCACTGCGTATATACACCATATGTTCATTACCCATTCATCTGTTGATAGTCCACTTCCAAGATTTGGCTATTATAAGTGGTGCTGCTATAAACATAAATATGTATGTATCACTATAATGTGATATCTTAACTCTTTTAGGAAAATGCTTATAAGGGGAATACCAGGGTCAAATGAAATTTCTAGTTAGCTTTTGGAGGAATCTCCAGACTGATTTCTGTAGTGGTTGTACTAGTTAGACATAGGCAAGGACTTTCTGAGCAGAGCCCCGACTGCACCAAAGTTTTAAACAGGATTCTACCTTTCAGTTTAAATTGTATCACAAGGTACATAGATAAACCAACATGATCCCAGGAGATGGGATTGAGGAGCCAGAGAACAGAATCGCTGCAGAAATAAGAGAAATGGAATACAAATGGTAAAAAACAAAGACTAACTTAGTTTCTTTCTTAAAGATACACCTCAGACTATCCCGAACAAAGAACTTGGTATTTGCTGCTCGTTGGCAAACCTAAAGACTGTGTCAGGCAAGTGATCTGTGGGAGTCGTTGATGAAAGTAAAGACCCCCGGGAGGCGTCATAGCTCACAAAACATGGCAAATTAGACCCCAGCCCCAGCGTCACCCACTTCCTCCTTTTCTTCACCTCTGTCCTCCTGGTTACTTACCTGGGAGCCCTGTCACTAGGAACCGCACCAGTGGCTTATGAACCGGGGATTCATCTGATTTCTGTTCGGTCAGTTTTTATTTAGTTGTACTGCTTCATGCAGATTATTGATTTTAGACAGAGACTTTTACTGAAATTAAAACACTGCGCTTATGGCATCTTTCTAGTCCAGTGGTGGGGAACGTTCTAGAGCTCTGTGCCATCGGCTTGCCACCACTGCTTGATGTCACTGTCTCACAAGAGGAAGTGTGTGTTTGACCTGGATTACTCTCTGTGACTCCACGGCACTTCCTGGCCTTTGCTGCCAGCCAAGTGCTTACGAATCATCTGTGCCTGCATTGTTCAAGCTGGAGTGGGGAAGTCTACCATTGCTGCAAAAGCAAATAGGTGTCATTTCGTGAGATCGCAGTTTGGGAAATGCCGACCTTTGCAATCATTTGTTTCTGAATTTTGCTGAGGGCAGACGTGAAACTCATTGGCCTGTGGCTTAGGGAATCAATGTCTTCATCTTTTTCAAAACCTGGACTAGGTCTGTTAGCCTTTTCATTGATTCCTCAGACTGTTCCACATCTTCATGCATATCTGCCAGCCATTCATCGTCCTGGAATATAATTCATCATGGCTTGTGTGCCTTTAAAGTCTTTAGGTATTTTCTCCCTTATTTTGAGCTCTGTACTCTGTTTATGCTTTACCTTTTGAGGTCTGAGGTGGAATCAGGTATGATGTGTTCAGTAACTTAAGGTAAGAGCAGTAATTTGAAGTTGCAGATAGGGTTCATGTCAATATAATGAAGTACCTTCTAATAATCTGGAGGGTCATATAGATTATATTGAACATTAGAGCTGTAAAGAGGACATTTTTACATTAGACAGGACGTTAAAGAAGATGACCTTAGGATTCTAAGATACTGTGGTTTGGGACATTTTTCTTTCATAAATATCACAAATAGTGTAGTTTTGGACCTCGAGGCTATTTTGTTATGGTACCACTGTTATCCAAGACAAGCATGTACAATCTCAAGTCCTGCAAAGTAATTGGTGCCTTGATGATTCAGGAGATGCATAGCTGGGCGATGTACCTATTTCAGGGACCCTTCAGTTTATTGTACAGTGAAATGGTGTTGCTTCCCCGTGCTTTGGAGTGTAACTACATCTCACCACTGCCTTTTTCAAAGAAGAGAACTCAAACTTTAGCTGAGAACTTGTTTGCACGTAGCATGACTGGGTCAGGATCTAAATTTTACAGATATTTGAAATAAAATAGAATTAATCTCATCCTGTAGATTGGCTGAATGTGGGATATTTAACAGAACAAAAAGCTTTAGTCAGTATTTACTCTTTCAAAACAAATGATAATTCTTTGAAAATAGCTCATTTTCCCATAGTAATGAATAAGCCCAAAGTAATGGGATTAATAGGATTATATTTTATTGCCCAAACAAATCATGCCCAGAAGTGATAGTTGGTCTTTGCAGCACACTTGGGTGGATTCCACAGCAGCTTTAGCATTTGAAGGATATGACAGAGAATAGTTTAATAACATTTAGTACACACTTGGTGCTTAGTGATAAGAAATGAACAAAGGTCCTTAAAACATGACTGCTGCAAGAGCATATTAGAATAATCACGTGGTTTTGCTGATTACTAGAACATGAACTATTCATTGCGATAGTATAGAACAGCCATGGTGACCCTTTTAGAACTTTAAGGTTGTGAACAGCCTGCTGCAGCTTGTGTACTGTGTAAGTTTGCCATTGCTGTGCAGGCAGTTTTAAAATCTGTTGTAAGACTTCCTCCCTGGCCCTCTCCCCCGTCCCGGAGCACACATAACGGTGAGCTCCTGTGTTACAGGGCTGTCTTCAAGGGCCTGTGTCTCCTAGCGTACTGCGAGGTCTTTGAAAGCAGTGGTTGACTGCCTCAGTCATCTCTGTCCTGAATTTAGACCCGAACTGCTGATGTGGCCACCCAGGCCGTGGTCACAAAGCTCCGAGGCTGCCGTTACATCGCGATGGTCGCTCTTCCCACGTCTCAGTTGTGCTGTCCTTCCCGCTGCCACTCTGGCTTTTGGAGCGAGTAGAGGGATGAATGGATAAGGACTGAACTATTTTTGCTGTGTACTCAGAGACCCTCCTGGAACCGGCCTGGGCATTACAGACATCGCTGTCTCACCTTGTGACGTGCAGGCACCGCGTGCTGCTGTTTGTGGTTTTGCTCCAGCCGTGCCTCCTTTGCCCCCATGTTTGAAATGTGTCCTTTCAGTCTCCTCCTCCTAAGGAGCAGCAGCCAGAGTGTGATTTTCTTTCTTTCCCCCTCCCTTCTTTCCTTTTATTAAAATTAAGTTTTAGTGTTGTAAACTTTTTATTAGCACGTTTGAGTCATAATGATCGTCTGCATCCTGCGGAACTGGCACAGGTGCATGGCAGGTTTAATTCTTTGCACTTCCCCTTCCTGTGTCTACTCTCCCACTCCGTCTCTTGATCTCTTTCCATTTGCAAAGATCTATTTTCTATTACCTTTCTTTTACCTAGATCCTTAATTTGTTTATACTTTTAGTTTCTCACATAAGACACACCATGAGATATTTATTTCACTTAACATTACAGTCTCAAAGTGCATCTGTTTTCCTACAAACGACTCAAATTTATCCTTCTTCACAGCAGAGTAGTACTCCAGCATGTATAAATACCTGCATTCCGTTTTTATGTCTCAGTGGTTTTAGAATAATACCTAGGGTCTGGGGATTTAGCTCAGCGGCATAAGCACCTGCCTTGCAAGCAGGCAGTTGTGAGTTCAATCCCTGGTACTGATAAAAATGAAAAAGACAAAAAAAAAAAAATATAAAAAGAATAATACTTAGCCTGATGCTAATGCTTTTTTTCCTGTAATGTGTCATATACTCACATGTAATGGTGTCAGTTCAAAAATCTCACTTTGCCTGTAGAGGAGTAAAGACAGAGAGCTGCCTACCATTGTGTGCTCAGAAGTAAACTGAAAATACCAGGGACCAGCCAGTGCTCCTGGTTTCAAGTCTCGCATTCCGCTCACGACCCCCCAGAGCCTCTCCAGATTGTGGCTCCTCTTTGCCCTCTCTCGTGGTCTTTGTTTTGCTCATTGGCTATTTTCTCCCCCCAGAACATGGACTAAGGGGACCCTTGGACATCACTTTTCAAAGGATACTGAAACTTTGCTCACCACAAATCGTCTCGGTGTGCAGCCTTTCGTGTGTTTAACCCTTTGGTTGAACTAGGCCATTTCCAACTTGATCACGACTTACCTTCGCCTCTCCTGTTTCTTCGCAGGAGGAGTCTGAGGTTGTCCTTCCGCCAGACCGTCTGTGCTGTTTCCTCCCTTCTGCTCAGCCCTGACTTTCCTCTTCTCCTCCAGAGGGGCAGCCCTGAGGCCAGGCCAAGATCGCAGCTCTGGAGGCAACGTGCCAGGACGCAAATCCTGACGTTTAGTGCTTCTTAGCCAGGTGACTTGGGCACCTTACCTCTGTGTCTCAGTTTCCTGACTTGAAAAGTGAATATCAAAATTGTACCAGTATCTCAGGATTATGGATTTTATTCATATGTGTGCTTAAAGTAAAAAGCTCACAGCAAAACCCTTAAAAGTATAAAGTTTATAGGGAAAAAGGCCAAGAAGCTCGCTCCTACTTTAAGACTCACCCACCAACTGCTTGAGTTTTCTGGTTCTTTGTTTCCTGCTCTTTCCTCCCTTTGTGTCCCTGGTGTGGCTCAACAAGTGGGCTCTCTGGCCCCAGGGCTCTATCTTAGACCTCTCCAGGGTTTTGCTGGGTTGTATGCATCCTCCCTGCCCTGTGGGCCTCCATCACAGAGCCTCAGAGCTGCCGAATCCTTTTTTACTATGAGAAAGGCATGTGAGTCAAACCCCTGCTTGCATCTTCTCTAAACACACAGGGAAACTCAGCAGAACACAGTGATACCAACGCGTGTATCACCTTGATACACGCTGGCCCAGAATGTGTGTTCAGAAGAGCTATACCTATTCAGAAAGGATTTTCTTTTTGGTTTGTGCTTGTTCTGAGCCCAGCGCTCAAAGATAATAGAAGTTTGGACTTTATATCCCCTTTCCTCATCAGCATCTGACCATCTATGAACAGTAAATTCCTTTTATTGATTCAGGGAAAATACTATACAAATTTAATTACCCACCAGAAACCTAGCCCCAAGCATAGAATCTAAAAATGGATGTTTAATGTTCTGCTCTGACCCACCAGTTGCACAATCAGCTAAAGGCTGCTCATCTTTCATTAAGAGTAATTTGTCTGCATCCTTTATACACTTTGGCTAAACGTATTTTCCTCAAAGTAGATACAGAAAACATCGGTGCTTCTCCCC